ATGGTTGGGCTGACCCCCCAGTGGGCTGAGGGGCGGGGCCAAAAGGGGACAATTTGGCAATATTGCTACAAACGACTTCTTCTGTAGAACTATGCACTGGATATCAATCATATTTAATAAAAAGCATTCATGGGAGGCAAGGATTCAAAATTGTACAAATGGTGTGGCTGACCCCCCCAGGTGGCTGAGGGGCAGGGCCAAAAAGGGTTAATTGGCTATATTGCTTTAAGCGGCTTCTTCTCTGGAACTAAGAGATTTATATCAACCATATTTGACTGGAAACTTCCCTAGGTGGTGGGGATTCAAAATTGTACAAATGGTGGGGCTAAACCCCCAGGGGGCTGAGGGCGGAGCCAAGAGGGGGCAATTTGGCTATATTGCTATAAACGACTTCCTCTGTATAACTATGCCATGGATATCGATCATATTTGGTCGGAAGCATTCATTGGAGGCAGGGATTCAAAATTGTACAAATGGTGGGGTTGATCCCCCGGGCTAAGGGTTGGGGCCAAAAAAAGAGTATTTCTTGGAAATGGTTGAGATACCCACCATATAACCATATATACAATTGCTGAGTATAAAGCAATCTGATTAAAATCATATGTTACATGGCTTCGTTAACTTCGTACTACGCCTGAACATCTGAGTGTGCCGCGGTCAGGGTCATGTTCAGGTGACTTTTATATTTATAAATACTCGTTAAATTTTGACCAATCAGAGACCTTCTTTCAAAAGGGCGCTCAGAGTTGTAACAAATATGGCGGACATCGATGAGAATGATGCGAAAGTTCTAAAGTTATTTGAGATTGATCGTCTGAAACCCGAACAGTAAAAAGATATTCGAAGCTTTATTAGAATAGAAAGACTGTATGGTGGTGTTGCCTACGCAATTTCTACCCAATGGGGATGTTTTCCTTGGCGTCGTAGAAACGTCAGTTCCCGCTGCCATATTTGTTTTGGAAAACTAATCTGTTCGATACCCCTTGCTATTTATCTATCAACCATGATATTCCAATTCGCTGGCAAACTTTTGCCAGCGAGCCTCTGATTGGTTCATCTAAAGGTCACTTGAACGTGACCCTGACTGCGGCACATTCACATGTTCAGGCGGAGCCATGTAACAGATGATTTTAATCAGATTGAGTATAAAGAGAAGAATGCACATTTGCTTTGAGGATAGCCCTAGGGTCTGGCCCCACCCTTGGAGACATAGTCCCTAGGCCATAACTTTAAAACGGTTGAGATTCCCACCCCAAAACTATATATACAAATGCTGGGCATAAAGAGATGAATGCAGTCATTATATTAGAATAGACCCTGGGGTCTGACCGAACCCCTAGGGACCTAGTTTCTTAGTCACAGCTTGGAAACAGTTGTGATCCCCACCCTATAACCATATCTACAATTGCTGAGTATAAAGAGATGAATGCACATATGCTTCCAGGATGGCCTTGGTGACTGCCCCATCATTGGAGATTCAATCCCTGGGTCATAACTTCTAAATGGTTAAGATCCCCACCCCAAAACTATATATACAATTGTTAGGCATAAAGAGACGAATGCAGTCATGATATTAGAATTGACCCCAGGGTCTGCCCCACCCTTGCAGACTCAACCCCTGTGTCTTAACTTTGAAACGGTTGAGATCCCCACCCCAAAACTATATATACAAATGCTGGGCAAAAAGAGACAAATGCAGTCATGATATTAGAATTGATCCTGGGGTCTGGCCACAACCCTAGGTACCTAGTTTCTGAGTCACAGCTTGGAAACAGTTGAGATTCCCACCCCATAACCATACATAAAATTGCTGGGCATGAAAAATCTAATACAGATATGCTACAAGGTTTGGCCTTTGGGGTCTGGCATATTCCCTTGGATCTCATTTGGAGAATGTTTTGCCATGATTGCTTAGATATCCAGGTGAGCGATACAGGCCCTCTGGGCCTCTTGTTTCACGTCAAAATGTTAAATGTACTTGCATAAATGTATTTACCTTTTCCATTACCAAGTGGTACGTGTGCTACGTGGTGTTTCTGGGCCACTCACCTAAAGGTAAAGGTCACAAGTTACCATCAGATTTGAATTACATTTTACTTGTCAAGAGCATAATTTCCTCACTTCCCCCGATAAAATCTTGATTTCTCATTCTCTGATTTTCTTGAATCACATGTAATTCTCGGTAACACCCTAACCTTATTCGATCCCCTTCTCCTGTCCCCATTGGGATGGGGCATGGTTTCTACAACATTGAATCATGTTGGGCCAAGGATACCCTATATCAAATTAGGTTACGGCAAGATAAAGCTATAGGAAGTAGGTAAAGGTCATTTTCATTTGCAATCTTTGTTGGGCTCCATCTAAGGAACCTACTTTTTAAATATCACGACTCCATGCCATTCACTTCTTCAAAAGAAGCTGTTTGCAGTTTTTACTAGATTTGACCCCTGTGACCTTGAAAGTAGGTTGAGGTAATTTTCAATAGCAAACTTTTTTGGGCTACATCTGTGACAGTTACCAGCCAAATTATAATTCTATGCATTTAGATTATTCAGAAGAAGTCATTTGAAGTGTTTGACATATTTGGCCCCTGTGACCTTGAAAGTAGGTTGAGGTCATTTTCATTCGCAAAAATTGTCTGGCTCAATGCCAAGAAGCAACCAGCCAAAAAATGCTTATATGCATTTCGATTATTCAGAAAAGTCGTTTGAAGTGTTTTACATATTTGACCCCTGTGACCTTGAAAGTGGTTCAAGGTAATTTTGATTCACAAACTTTGTCTGGCATCATGTCTGGAAGCTATCAGCAAAATTTTATAATTCTATACCTATCAGTTCTCCAGAAGAAGTCGTTTGAATTGTTTGAAAAATTTGACTCCTGTGACCTTGATAGTAGGTCAAGGTAATTTTCATTCTCAAACTTTGTCAGGCTCCATCCCAAGATGCCACCAGCCAAATATCAAGATTTTGTACCTTTCAGTTCTTCAGAAGAAGTTGTTAAAAGTGTTTGACATATTTGACCCCTGTGACTTTGAAAGTAGGTTGAGGTCATTTTTATTCACAAACTTTGATAGGCTCTTACCAACGAAGATTAAAGCCACACATTAAGATTCTATACCTTTCAGTTCTTCAGAAGAAATTGTTTTAAGTATTTGACACTTTTGACCCCTGTGACATTGATAGTAAGTCAAGGTCATTTTCGTTCTCAAATTTGATAGGCTCTTACCAACGAAGCTACCTGCCACATATTATGATTCTATACCTTCCAGTTTTTCAGAAGTTGTTGTTTTAAGTATTTGATACTTTAGACCCCTGTGACTTTGAAAGTAGGTCAAGGTCATTTTCATCTCAGACTTTGTTGTGCTCTTACCAAAGAAGCATTGACCCATATATCATGACTGTAGGCCTTTCCATTCTTCAGAAGAATTTGTTTAAAGGAAATGTTGACGGATGCCGGACGGACTGACGACAGACGCCGCACCACAGCATAAACTCACTAGCCCTTCGAGCAGGTGAGCTAAAAAGATCATAGAGTGATTTTTCTGAAATTTCACATGTAGGTTACCCCTGGATCCTCAGTTGTCCTGATTCAATTTGGTGACTGATGACAAGAACAAGATAGTTATAATAAATTCTTATTGGATTTTGATTCCCATTTCTTAGAAAGTAATGGCTAGACCTTTCCACAAGTAATAACATGGCCATTATAAGCCTATGGAGCAGAAGTTGCCTGTATGATTTTAGCTAGTGACAACTGAAACTACTTCAATACTATAATTATTGTGTAAAAATGCAGTTTATATAGATAAAAACATATAAAGTTTAACATACCCAAAATCATATTTATTTTCACCTGGTTTTGCTTGAAACCAATAATATGAACATGTGAAGCAGTTTTTTAGATGCCCATCAGAAGTATCACTGTGTTCGCCATAACTGGAAATTAATAATATCAGCCTGCAAAGTCTATAAACTCTTCATAGGTAACATATTCAGATCACTGAAAAAGTTATAATAGATGCCTCTTTATCAACTACAACCCTTTTCACTTTCTTGCACATTAGGTTTGTTGACGGATAGTCATTAAATTTAATATTCAAAAATCACTCTGTAATAGTTAGTCTAGCTGCCATTCTTATCTTTCTTTAATGTGTGATCAATTGTGGCAATTTGTTCTCCTTTTTGTTGTTCTTTTCTCAGCTTCATCTGCTTTTTAATTCTCATTTCCTCTGACTTCTTATAGTTTCTTTCTTTTCTTTGCATCTTCAACATTGTTGCGTTCCTCAATTCTTCCCTAATTTCTTCTGCTCTTTTTCTGTCTAAATTAGCATAGAATTCAATAGCTTTCTTCATATCCACTTCGTCAGGAATTTGTACAAATCTAATATTGATACCTTGTACGAAGAATTGTTCAAAACTTGAGACCTTCCCCTTATAGTTCCTAAAGCTGACATCAGTCATTGTCACATTCATGTAAGCATCCACATGTTCCACAAATCCAGAAACTGTACTTTCATTTCTTAGTTCCACGGTCGTTACTTTTCCTTCAACTGCTTTAAGCAAACAAATAAGAGAATTTCTTATCTTAAACCTTTCCCTGTCCGAAGCCATATTTGGACAAACAGAGTGTAAGCAGCAGTAAAATCCCAGCTATAATCTGTGGACAAGTTTAAGTCTAACAGAAAGTAAACACTGTGCACGATCAGTCGCTTACGCGTTTAAAAACAAATTAAAATATCATATTAAAGAAAATGTCAATTACAATGATACTCTTTCAATTCAATTCGTGACTTTCAATTTTAAAAATGAGTTTAATTTTATCTGATTTGCTGAATATTTAATACAACTTACCAAAAAAGAAATATTTTTATTTGCTATCATCTAAGCGGTCCCATAGCGGGAAATTGAAGTTAGACTGTTATGATTCTGCTGCTGGAGATCTATAGACGTCCTGTGAAGATGCCTCGACTCTATTGATTGAACAGTTTTGCAGAATTTTAGAGATGACACTAGGCCCAGCTACGATGTTTCATGCGTGTCAGGAATATCTACTTCTTGGAAAATTCGACAAATGTTTGAGTGAACTTCATAAACTTGCAGATTTTCAACTGACTTCTCTTGGCACGTGGAATGTTGATAATAACAAAATTGTTTCTACATTTCTACTGGTATTTAACTTACATTTTATGATAGTTGTTATTAGTACCACACGAATCAGACGCTAGATATAGCATTTATACAGTCAAATTCATTTTTGATGGGGTCTACCTGGCATGTACATCAATATGTGGGTCGTTAATTCGCCCTAAATCCTATTCCCACCACAGATCGTTGACCTGACACATCATGTGCAACCCACCCACAAGTTGTATTCATTACCTGTTTGCTAGAAGAATTCACTATGTGAAATTGATATACTCCCAAAATAGCAATTAAATAAACTAAAAAATAAAACACATGTACATATAAAGCATTTTTTTCTGATCTATAAACTTCCCAATAAGACAGCGTAGTAATTAGGTAACATGCCTGTGTAACAAAAGAGGAATGCAAAAGCCATTCAGGGCCTGTATTCATGAAACTGTTCTCATGCTCAAGCATGGATTTTGTGCTCATATATGCAACTTCAGTGTAATAATTGGAGGGTATGCTTGCTTGATCAACTGAGTTACATGGGCCCAAGTCCCTGGTGTTACATTATGTTTATCTGGAGCATTATATATTATATTGATGTTTTGATCATCAAGACTTGATTTTATATGTTGTAGGATATTGAAAAGAATTGTGGAGTACTTGAAGAAGGTCTTATTAAATCTACGGAAAAATCTTTCATATCGTTACTCAACAAAATCGGAAGTAAGATGAACACAGGACATGCAATTGTATTTTTTATATTTTTTATATATTCTTTTTATAAAAAAAGTAAACTGAAATGTCTACTTACTTGTAACATACAAATCATATACATGTATTGGTAATATTTACATAAAACATAACATGATGTGTCCTATAGCTACTTGCATGTATTTTTATGCATAAATTTCTTATACAGTAATGATAATCTTTACCTGTTTACCTGTATAAAGGAGGATGACAACATGTGTGGTGAACAGATACAGACCCAATATAACTGTATACTACTTTTTGTGTCAGACCAAATATAATGGTATAATACTTTTTGTGTCAGACCCAATATAACTGTATAATACTTTTTGTGTCAGACCCAATATAACTGTATAATACTTTTTGTGTCAGACCCAATATAACTGGATAATACATTTTGTGTCAGACCCAATATAACTAGAATACTTTTTGTGTCGGACCCAATATAACTGTATAATACTTTTTGTGTTGCAGGTCTTCCAGTTGACAGTAGTAGTTTGTCATTAGAGATCACGGTCCTTAATAACTACCTGTTGCTCCAGTCTCTCAGGTGTGCAGGACATCCAACAGGCGTGGTAGACAGCTGTGGAAACCATGTACACAGAACTTTGCTTAGAGGTAGGTAGAAGTGGTACTGTGAATGAAATGGAAATGTTCAGGAAAAACCAACCTTGAGTCATTTGATTTGGTAAATTGCCCATACCTAAGAGTTAACTATAAAATAATAATTGAGTGCCTAACTTGTAATTTATTTATTTTCAGTTATAAAACATATTGGATCAGACGAAGACAGTGATTCTACATGTACACTGAAGACTGATAATGAGTCCTTGTTTGACATCATATTCAGGAGACACACTTTATCTGGTATGACATAACTATGACATAACTGCTGTTTGTGTCTATATTGAAGTCTTTTCTGATAGTTGAAGTTCAAGATAAAAATTTATTTAAAATCAGGATTCTTTTTCATAAAGTACATGTGATGTAGATAGACCAGAAGTAAACTGTTGAAATGATGAGACAGTCTATTGTATACCAGTGATCCATGAATATCCTCACCATTTTATACACACTGGACAGAGAGAGCATACGTCAGCAAATTATATCTATTCAAACAACAGCTGTATTAACGGTTTCATTTGACCCTTGACATATAGCATTTTCCGATGTCCAGTAACAGTTTTCCTTGAAAATTCTGGGTCAATGCACGTTTCATATTGACACTTCTTTTCAAACTCTTGAGCAATTTTGGGGAATACAAAAAACCTACTCTCAAGGGTCCACTGATCTGAAAGTCCTTGTAGACTCATTCTTACACATCTTTTGTTGTTCCTCTAGAATCGCCTGTGAACTTAACATGCATTGTGTCGCTGTTTTGTATCTGGTCTGTCCTGATGAGAGTGACTGGTGACATCTCCAAGGCAATGTCTTGCCTTTCATCTTGTCCTCTGTATTTTCTGGACTCTGTGGAGGTCGGTATATTTACCTGGTAATATTTTCTTTCAAGTACACCTTTATATTATTCGTCTACCATAAACATAAAATGTCTTTCTGACTAATTATATTGTTTAAAGGATGTTTTACTTTTTATCCCAACATGTCAGTATAATTGGTGAAACTTGATAACATTTGTTTAAAAATGGGATTTGGGACATTTCCTGTTATTAGTATATTTCTTTTTTATTTAAATGTGAATCAAAAACTTTTGAGTTAGCAGAACATTATGATCAGTAAGATCAGATTCGGTATGTAAACCTGAAACACTTTTTATTTTAAGACACAACTGGCTATTGTTTCTAGAAATAAGCATTGCAGTAAGAAGCCCACAATGATATACAGTATATAGTACAGACAATCCTAAGATAAACACTGCCTTTTATCTCACCACTTTTATCAAGTTTGACAATATTAGTTGTATGTAATGTAAATGTTATCAGGCAGACCAGAGCAGAGGATTGTTTGAAATCCCATTCAGTCTAATGTTGACATCAAAGACAGCTTGTGGCACAGACTCTGAAACATCTCAAGCTGATAAAGTGCGTCTCCTGCGTGGAATGTTCATGTTCTGTATACCAGACAAGCGAGAACAAAGTAAACTTGACCTACAGGAAGTGATTGGGACACACTTGCACCCTTATACCAAATATATGTTAGGTAAGTGACTTGAATGACACCCTTATACCAAATATATGTTAGGTAAGTGACTTGAATGACACCTGTATACCAAATATATGTTAGGTAAGTGACTTGAATGACACCTGTATACCAAATATATGTTAGGTAAGTGACTTGAATGACACCTTTACCAAATATATGTTAGGTAAGTGAATTGAATGACACCTGTATACCAAATATATGTTAGGTAAGTGATTTGAATGACACCTGTATACCAAATATATGTTAGGTAAGTGAATTGAATGACACTTTTACCAAATATATGTTAGGTAAGTGACTTACATGACACCTTTATACGAAATATATTTTAGGTAAGTGACTTCAATGACACCTGTATACCAAATATATGTTAGGTAAGTGACTTGAATGACACCTGTATACCAAATATATGTAAGGTAAGTGAATTGAATGAAACCTGTATACCAAATATATGTAAGGTAAGTGAATTGAATGACGCCGTTACCAAATATAGTATAGGTAGGTGAATTGAATGACACCTTTACTAAATATATGTTAGGTAAGTGAATTGAATGACACCTTTACCAAATATATTTAAGGTAAGTTAATTGAATGACACCTTTACTAAATATATGTTAGGTAAGTGAATTGAATGACACCTTTACCAAATATAGTATAGGTAAGTGAATTGAATGACACCTTTACCAAATATATTTTAGGTAAGTGAATTGAATGACACCTTTACCAAATATGTGTTAGGTAAGTGACTTGAATGACACCTTTATACCAATTATATATTTTAGGTAAGTGACTACAATGACACCCTTTTACAAAATATATGTTAGGTAAGTGACTTGAATGACACCTTTTTTACCGTCATACAAAATATATGTTAAATGTTTCGGGCACACTGGCACCTGTAAGTTTTTATAGACAACCCGTCACTTGTGTATCTGTATGTTAACCAACCTAACATAGTTTCATGAAAATGTATTGAGTCCTAATTTTGCAGGGTGGGAAAAAACCAGAATGAGACTCCTGATAAAATGTAATTATATTTAACCGCTACAATGAACATATTAATTTCAGTACCTGGGTATATGTACATACCGTATTTGACCTAGTATGCCTATAAGAGCACATGTCCTAAGAAGGGTGCACCCCACTCTTTTTGTGAAAACAAATAGAAACTATCAGGGTACTTGATCGCGACCAGTTATCTTTAAAAAAAAATCCGAGAAATTTGTAAGTATTTTGAAAAATATGTGTGTTATCAAACTGAAAGTTCACTTAATAATTCCTAAATGCATCATCTATGTACCATAGCAAAAAGCACAAATAAAGACACTTGGTTTTAGGTTGTTTCAGCCACATGAGAGGACCAATTATGAAATAGGGATGGACCTAGTGGTCTGTTGTTGGTTTACGGCGAGTCTTGACAAATACTTTCAAGGCTTGCTTTATCATTTGTCGGTCTGTCCTGAAATGTTACGTAGAAATATAGACAAACTATTTTTTCTGCATGAATGAATAGACTCCATAATTGTACAATAGTCATCAAAATTCAGCTTCATCATTGCACGGAGGAATGAAAACACATGACGACTGAATAAGCATCTGACAAAGAATACTGATTGTGTATCACAGTAATTAAAACTTAACAAATTAAATAACCCTTAGTTGTGTTAAACAAACTTAGATATCATACCTAACAGCACATTATAAGGAAATATCAATACCCATGCATTGTGTTTGTCTTTTTATATAGCTTGCCTGGAGTATGAGAGCGGCCAGTATCTTGATGCCATTATGCTGTGTAGTCAAGCTTCAAACACATCAGTAGACAGTGTAAAACTAAGGGCTCTTCATTCTAGCCTTTTAGGGGCTTGCTTCTCCAAATTGGTTTGTATTTATATGCCCCTCACTTAATGAAATTGGGGGGGGGGGGGGGGGGATAACATTTTCATGAACTGTTCAACTGATTTAGTTTAAAGTTACAAGATAATGTGTTGACATCAGTTCTAAACCTGATTTGAATTAGGTAGAGGTCCAACTTGCCAATTCTTGAAATTAAAAGCTTGTGTATCACAAACCTCTCTACAGATTCATTTCAATTTATATTTTTTCCATAGTAAGGTAACATCAAGTTTTACACCTGATTAGATTTTGGTTGTAATCAGTCGAGGCTTCAAAGATCAAATGTGACATTTTATCTCTTGAGGGATATATACCATAATTTCATAAATAAATGTACTACTTATATCACAGATATGCCTGAAATAGTTAAATGAGACCCTGGGTAAATAAATTGTACCCACTGTTCACTTCCTAAATGATTCAGATTTACTTTAAAATATAGAAATGCTGTATATTGAAATAGTTTATATTGTATAGTTACTACTGTTCACAGGATTGTTAATTATACTTAGTTCGGAATTGGAAAAAAATATGTGCAAAAATAAGGCTTACACAATGAATATTTTAATATACATGATATAGATCAAACATATGAATAAGATAGTTCAGGCATCATAATAGTGATGTAATGAAATTGTAATTATGACATTATGAAAATAAAATAAACAGGTATATTGTCAGATGTTTATAATTAAGAACCAACTTTGTTGTTAAGGGTGAAACTCAATACATGTAAACAGATTAGATTTTGAACCACAGAGTTATAGATCAGTAAAATAATATCAGCTATATAGTATAATTGTGATCAGTTTGAGGATTTGTGACCCATTACTCTATTGCTGTAGGGTAAACATCACTGTGCTATAGAGAAGTACAAGGAGGCTCTCACCTTGGATTTCACCTATCTTTGGCCTCTGTACAGTCTGTCCCTGGAGTACCAGAGTCTCGGTCTACACGACCCTGAGCTGGAGTCCCTCAATCTCCTCATCACTGTAAGTTTGTCTCCTCGCTCACCTCGTTAAAAAAACATGTATCAGATTCTTCTATCTTCTTTCATCCTACGCCTTTATACAATACCAAGGACTGGAACTGTTTATGCTTCAACCAACCCTTATTTTTCCCTGTACATCTTTTAAAATTGTTCATCCACAAAGCAAATGCTGTCCTATCATTTCTTTCTAATAAACTCTCACTGAATGCAATTTCATATATAAAATTATTTTATTAACCAATATCAAGTATGATTAAATAATTGATTGTCATTTGTATACAGACACATTTATTTAAATGACAATACATGTAAAAAATGAAAGTATTACATATTTTGAAGGCTTTAGAAAGTGAGCAGCGGAAAGAAAGACCATCTCTGCTGCATCAGTGTCTATGTCCCGGTCATCAGCAGATCACACTCCTTCAGGCCCAGTATAGACTGGCTGAGCGCTGTCTACAGCTCCACAAGTAAGTGTGACCAGACCCAGTATAGACTGGCTGAGCGCTGTCTACAGCTCCACAAGTAAGTGTGACCAGGCCCAGTAAAGACTGTCTGAGTGATGTCTACAGCTCCACAAGTAAGTGTGACCAGGCCCAGTAAAGACTGTCTGAGTGATGTCTACAGCTCCACAAGTAAGTGTGACCAGGCCAAGTATAGACTGGCTCAGCGCTGTCTACAGCTCCACAAGTAAGTGTGACCAGGCCCAGTATATACTGTCTGAGTGCTGTCTTCAGCTCCACAAGTTAGTGTGACCAGGCCCAGTATATACTGGCTGAGCGCTGTCTACAGCTCCACAAGTTAGAGTGACCAGACCCAGTATATACTGACTGAGCGCTGTCTACAGCTCCACAAGTAAGGGTGACCAGGCCAAGTATAGACTGGCTCAGCGCTGTCTACATCTCCACAAGTAAGTGTGACCAGGCCCAATATAAACTGGCTGAGCGCTGTGTACAGCTCCACAAGTAAGTGTGACCAGGCCCAGTATAGACTGGCTGAGCCCTGTCTACAGCTCCACAAGTAAGTGTGACCAGGCCCAGTATATACTGGCTGAGTGCTGTCTACAGCTCCACAAGTTAGTGTGACCAGGCCCAGTATAGACTGGCTGAGCGCTGTCTACAGCTCCACAAGTTAGTGTGACCAGACCCAGTATATACTGACTGAGCGCTGTCTACAGCTCCACAAATATGTGTTGACAGCTAATGAACCGTCTGGATGTAGATCGCCCTAAGACACTGAAGGTTGCCAAAGAATTGATTGACAATTATTCTGTATTATTATCTGTTAAATTGTTGTGCTGTATGTGAACACCTTAACTGACTCAACTTTACACTAACTGTTTGATTGAAGAAGTATGTATCAATGTATGTAAATGTAAGACCACAAAAAAAAGTATCCACTGATGTTTCCTGCTATAGTTGTTCCAGTCTCTTATTGGTGGACCAGTACCATCATTGACAGTCTCTATACAACCTTAACAGGTTTACAATATGATTTGAAGTAAAGGTATCCAACACAAAGTAGGCAGTTAATTTCAGTAAATCTTGTAACGCCTCAATACTACCTGGTAATCTTCTTTTATTCATGAAAATAGCTAGTGAAATAGTTTGTAGTAGGAGAGTAATTTCACCAGCTACTGGCTACAGATGAAATCCCAGATATCACATAGTTCAGTACTTTGAACATTGACTGGTTTTCAGATTTGATGCAGCCTATCAGAGATACCTTGATGTACTGAGTTGCTTGCACCACGTCGAAAATTTTAAGGTAAGGGGAAGTTTAGAAATCAAATTGCTAATTAAGGTTATGATGTGACTAAAATTATCTACAATTTGCTAGAAAATCGCAGTGTAGTAATAAATTCCTGCAGCTTAATCATCAAAGTTGTTAGATACAACATACCTGATCAGACAAATGTTTTTCTGTGATTTAATGTGTGACTTTATTGGTACAGACTGGAGGCAGCAGTGAGGTGAGACTCCCCTCAGTACTACAGATGTATCAGGAAGCTGAGTACTCCTTACTCCGGGCCAAGCAGTACACTGATTGTGTCCTTGTCTGTGATAAAGTACTGTCGTGTGATGCTCCATCTCAAGGTCTCTCTGGTTACCATAGTGACCAATCACAAGACCAGTCAATTTTAAGTTCACAGACTTGTAGTCATGGTGCCCAGTCCCTAAATGTACCATCAGTTGTGTCTGGGTCACAACAGAGGAAGAGGCTAAGGTCGCATAGTGGAGAGTTATCTGCCACTATTGCCAAAGAGGACACCAGGAGTATGTTGTATAAAGCAGATGCTCTAATACATATGGGACAGTTAGACAGTGCTACCAACTGTCTGGAGAGGTAAGGGTCACATGCAGGATTTCCTGTCATTATAATCAATATTTAAAAAATAATGTCGCAAGTAATAATTGTATGTTGGGGTAAGATGGTTGAAACTATGAGAAAACTATTAACAGACTATATTTAGGTAATATTTATTGATGTTTCAATAACTTGGCATTAAGCAGATTCTAATGAAAATCTACAAAAGACTGAAAAATGCAAATACAAAAAAATGCCAGCAGAACACCAACTTCCGTCAGTGAGATGAAACCTGCATGAGTGGAATCATGTAGGCGAAAAACCCGTCAACCAACCAAATACAAAATACACTTTTTGATGACTTAACTTTTTTAATAAAGTGGTCATTATTATTATTTTACATTGTCACTTCATAACAGAGGACTACATTATATGTCCTTGATCAGGCTTCCAACAAGACTTATGTATCCTTACCATATCAGAAGTTACTTTCCCCCTGTAATACACGTTGCTGTTGTTGTTTCCCTGTTTAAGGTCATTAAAACCCCTGTCAACCTTGTCTGTAATACATGTTGCTGTTGTTGTTTTACTGTTTCAGGTCATTAGAACCCCTGTCAACCTTGTCTGTAATACATGTTGCTGTTGTTGTTTTCCTGTTTCAGGTCATTAGAACCCCTGTCAACCTTGTCTGTAATACATGTTGCTGTTGTTGTTTTCCTGTTTCAGGTCATTAGAACCCCTGTCATCCTTGTCTGTAATACATGTTGCTGTTGTTGTTTTACTGTTTCAGGTCATTAGAACCCCTGTCAACCTTGTCTGTAATACACGTTGCTGTTGTTGTTTTCCTGTTTCAGGTCATTAGAACCCCTGTCAACCTTGTCTGTAATACATGTTGCTGTTGTTGTTTTCCTGTTTCAGGTCATTAGAACCCCTGTCAACCTTGTCTGTAATACATGTTGCTGTTGTTGTTTTCCTGTTTCAGGTCATTAGAACCCCTGTCAACCTTGTCTGTAATACATGTTGCTGTTGTTGTTTTCCTGTTTCAGGTCATTAGAACCCCTGTCAACCTTGTCTGTAATACATGTTGCTGTTGTTGTTTTCCTGTTTCAGGTCATTAGAACCCCTGTCAACCTTGTCTGTAATACATGTTGCTGTTGTTGTTTTCCTGTTTCAGGTCATTAGAACCCCTGTCAACCTTGTCTGTAATACATGTTGCTGTTGTTGTTTTCCTGTTTCAGGTCATTAGAACCCCTGTCAACCTTGTCTGTAATACATGTTGCTGTTGTTGTTTTCCTGTTTCAGGTCATTAGAACCGCTGTCAACCTTGCCTGTAATACATGATGCTGTTGTTGTTTTCCTGTTTCAGGTCATTAGAACCCCTGTCATCCTTGGCTGTTATACATGTTGCTGTTGTTGTTTTCCTGTTTCAGGTCATTAGAGCCGCTGTCAACCTTGTCTGTAATACATGTTGCTGTTGTTGTTTCCCTAATTCAGGTCATTAGAACCCCTGTCAACCTTGTCTGTAATACATGTTGCTGTTGTTGTTTCTCTGTTTCAGGTCATTAGAACCCCTGTCACCCTTGCCTGTAATACATGTTGCTGTTGTTGTTTCCCTGATTCAGGTCATTAGAACCCCTGTCATCCTTGGCTGTAATACATGTTTCTGTTGTTGTTTTCCTGTTTCAGGTCATTAGAACCCCTGTCATCCTTAACCATAGACAGTAATACTCTGTCCTCACAGGATACTGATGCTGGCTCACAACCTTATAGCAAAAGAAAAAGAATCGACTCGGATGGCACTGCAGTCCCCTGTCGCTCTTCACCCCACAGTGGAGGCTGTCCATTGCTGTCTATCAGACATACAGCTGCCCAGGTTTACAACCATTTAGGGGTAGCCAAGTCACGGTGTCAAAATTATAAAGATGCCTTACACTACATCAGACTCAGCCTTCAACTTTATCCCTGTAAGTCAGATGATAGTATATGTGTTATTCTATAATGTAAATTGCATCTCTGTTTCCTCCTCTCTCCTTGAATACAAGAATACTAGACCAGCATATATATTTCTAGTCTTAAGATATAGCACCATAGAATCTTCATTCCTGTGTGATGTTGACAGAAAATTTCAACCAAAGGATAAGATTTTTAGCCCACCATCACCTGATGATGGTGGGCTATTTAAATCACCCTTCGTCCGTGGTTCGTCCGTTGTCCATCCTTAAACAATTCTTGTTATCGCTATTTCTCAGAAAGTCCAGGAGGGATCTTTCTCAAATTTGATATGAAGAATCCCCTTGGTCTGTAGTTGTGCATGTTAACTTTTGAGACTGATCAGGTTAACAAAATGGCCGACAGACAGCCATCTTGGATTTTGACACTGAATGTTTGCTATCGTTTTTTCTCATGAAGTTTCGGAGGGATCTTATTCAATTTTGATACGTAGGTTCCCCTTGGTCTGTAGTTGTGCATGTTTACTTTGGAGAGTGATCATAAAAACAAGATGACCACAGGAAGTACTAATGAGATCTTTCTGATATTGTAGTGATTAAATCTATTTCTCTTAACATTTAAAGAACTGTACTAGTAAATACATGAAACAGTGCATTTACTGTTTACATGGCTTGATCAAACAGATAAAAGAAAAGAAGAGAAATGATCAAACTGACATAAACCAATGAGATGGTACAATGGTGAAAGCCAAGATCCTTCTGGGATCTCTTATTTTAAATTGAGCACAAGACTTTGCCAAGTGCTAAACTTCAAAAATCTTATTCTGAGGGTTCAGATTTTTCGTCTGCATCACACAAGAGTAGTTGATTATACTATTTTCTCACACTCATTCCTACCATTAAAGATAAATTTTAGGTCATTAGATGAATGAATAATTTTAAATGGTCATTAAATAAATTTTAATGGTGAACCCAATGCACTGTGTCATCAGCAAAATTGATGATGTGACCCTGGTTACACTGCACGAAGTGATGATGAGGTTTTCAGAATACCTGGTAATAGCGGTTGTGAGCTGTCTTTTCCTAGGAAGGTAAATACAGGTTTATCAATGAAATTTGCGATATTACAGCAATTGCTTTGCCAGATATGGATAATTATATTTGTAACTTGGACTTTGGTTTGCTACATTTTTTACAATAAGAGATTAGATATGATACCATATTCTCTCGTACCTGTGGTCATCCCTTGTAGGAAACGTGTCACATTGGGGTGTAGGATATCTTGATCACCATGATCTTCATATTGTGAAAAAAAAATTACAAAAAAAAGAAAGTATGTCACATTTTATAGTGATATCTCATTATAGCTGAGAGGCTAGCAAGGAAAGCATTCTTTATTTTGTGTATGAAGTACATGTACGTGTAAGTTCTATCCTTGAGTGTATGATTTCCATAATCCCCACACCTACATATACTAGACTATTAGTCCCCTATGGAACTTGTTCTACGACATACATGATTGTACTAATTGACAACTCTCAACTATTATTACTGCAATATTAAATAAAAGTGGTGACTGGTTAAATTGCTCTAGTAATAGAAAGAAATGCAAGGATTTTTTTTATGCCAAGTAATTTTAATGTTGGTTTCTTTTACTCTATTTTAAGATAATGACACTGTAATGTACAACCTGACCGCTGTACTGCGGTCGCTACAGAGGCAGCGTGAGGGTGTGACCAACTGGACCAAGTACAGGCGACTAGGTGCTGGGTCAGACAGCTTACAGCTGGCCAATGTCCTCAGGAGGAAGAAACAACAGCTCAGGTTAGTTTGTTATTCATACTAAACAATGTTGTAGATATAAAATCTTGCCTTCCTGTCTGACCCTCTTATTGCCCACTTTCTCATAGGGAAGACACATTTTTATTTTCTCATACCAACTTTATGATGTGTCCAAGCTAGAGAGTTTTCAGACTGACCTGTTAGTGATGTTTTTGTACTCTTCAGTAAAGATTAACAAAGAGATGCTGACAACTGCATAAAAAGCCCAAATATATTTTTAAACGGAGCCGCAATGCAAAGATGTGCAATGCCAACTTTGCAAGATAGAACATGCTTTTAAGTACATATTTATTTTTTTATTCTGCCCGATGTTGTTCATAAAAGTATGTTAATTGAGGTAACATGTATTTCCTGTTTGTGGTTGAAGGCTTGAAATAGGTGATTGAACTATCGGGCTAATATGTAATACGTTTTGAAAGTATGTTTGCTGAAGATACACTGTAGTTATTATCATATATTATTTCATTAACAAATAGACCAACTAACCGGTTACTTGATCGGAAGATTTTTCAAGTGACTGAAGACTGAAATTTGTCCAGTTTACAATCCTAACTAATGATTTATTTATAACTTATACAGTTCCTGTATACACGGATTGTTAGTTTAACAATGGAAAAAGATAGATGGATAAGAATGGCATTAGTTTACTATAACACCAGGGCCCTGCTGGCAAGTCATTTCTTCTGTATAGAATCATCCACAGATAAATAGATAAGAGACATATATATTCATGTTGATAATGTCCTTATAACAGTATCACAAGGGGAAATCAGAAAAAGGAATTTCACAAGATGTCTAGAGGCTGATTCAGATGTTAAATCATGATTCAAATTAAAACAAAATGATGGATGTAACCATTGGCTTCACAAAATTGTTAACAGTTTAACGAGTCGTTTAGTACTAGTCCGACTTATATAAATATATCAGCTGATAAGTGGGGTGAAGGGAGATAACTCTGTTGATTCTAGCAGGAAAAAGCAAAGCTGTACAAAGTGATCTAAATTGTTGATGGCAATATATGAACCATTAAAAAATGTGATGTTTTTAAGGTGTCATGCAGTGAAGTTTTTAATTGTTGTCTTATGAAATACCAGAAGCCTGCATAGGTGTCAATCTCTGAAACCTCCATTGAGGCAGATCCCATTCATTCCACTTTTCCAATGAGTGAAAAAGTGTGTGAAACATGACTATAACTTCTTTGCTCAATTTATCTTTCCCATTGTACATGTATGTATCAAAAAAACTCCAAAAAGCATTCATTTTGTAGCAGTGGTGAATTTTGTAGATAAACATCAACAAACACTGTGAGAGTTCTTCACGATTTATTGTGCGTAGTTCCCATTCCTTAGACATAAATGATTAAACCCTGCAATCATATAATAATTACATTTCAGATATATGTATGGGATCTACAACTCATTCATAACGCACATATACATGTAGCACACTGAATTTACAAGAAGTTATCTTGAAATGTTACATGTAAGATTATAGTTCTATAAGTTATAAAAGTTATATTACATCTAGATTTACATTATATTTACTGATATTTATACACATGTAATATTGAACATATGATGTAAATCTTATCTTAGCTCAGTATTTATTGGTACGGAGGTTACTTAATAAATATACAAAGAGTACAATAAAATACATTCATCAATACATTACTATAAGTTTAAAATAGAAAACTGTACCTATTTGTGGAACAGGGCCATTTGAAGTCGTACGGAATTATCCGAGGTTATTACGTGTACTCGTAATTTCTGTATGACAAAGAAACACGTATATATAAAATACAAGTAAAATGACGCAGTATATATATACCGACAGCTAATAACGAATCAAGAATTAACTAGTATGATCGTATCTATCAATTTGACAATATATTCAGACTCACCTGTTATGATCATTAAACACACCCTGCAGTAACTAGGAGATCATTTGACCACAGAATTTAGATTTTGAGTTTGTGTGAGTTTGGACTTGAATGAGGGAGTTTTGAGGGAGATTGGTAAATTTTGGTCAAAATGAGGGAGTCTCCCTCCTAATGAGGGGGTTTGAGAGCTATGAGTAGGTCATAAAGCTTATTATTCATTACATTCAAACTATATGATTGAAGTAACAGTATCTCTTAATGACTTTATCAAGTTGATACATGATATGATGTCACGCGTAGTGTTGGAATTGGTAAAGATTTTCATCATCATTGATTGGTTATTTTTGGTTTGTAACAACTGATCAATTTCTGATTAATTATATCGGCTGATTTACATTTTACTAGGCGGCTTTAGATTGATTTTTGTTGTACATGCAATAGCTGGCTCAAACGAGCACTTCGTTATTCACCTACAAAAAAATGATGAAATTCTGTGAATGAATTCATATTTATGATGTGTAAAATCACATATTTTTACTGCAATAAAAATCTTAAACAAGAAGTGAAAATTCTTCCAAGTCCTCATCATGAATTGATTACAGAAAAACAGGGTGAGGAAGTGCTGCTGTATATGTTTAATAAGGAGAGGTGCAGGGAGTAGAGCCAACGCGTTCGTTGTTACCTGGGTGGATCTGAGGGTCCTTTATCCTTCCTGAAGAAGCCCACCAAAGGGCGAAACCGGTCGACAGATACTTAATAAATTGAAGCAACCTATCCTCATGCTGTTGTGATTGTTACCTTCTACTGTTTAATAAGGATATGTGTTAAGTATAAAGTCATTATTCAATACTGGTAGTGGAATGCAGGCACTGAAACTGATGATAGTTTCTAATACTGGATGTCTAGAAGTCAAAACAAGAGTAAATGTATTGATTGTTATGCTGAATAATCAGTTTTCATTGAGGCGTGTCACAGTTAGTGTTCTATTTCCTACTGATGTGACGTCAGTGAGATTGATTTTTTTGGAAGATTAGCATTACCACATATTTACATGCCTGGCTAACCATCACTTAACCAGTTTGACTACTTAGGATTTCGTCATATATGAAACACTTACTGTAAAGGTTCCTAAGTTTTGAAAGTCCCAAACCTGTGTCCCGGATATAATGAGATTTACTTTCCTGGCTTTAGTACCAACATCTGTGATTAATAGCTGACTGGCTAGTGGATGTCAGAACCTAGTGATATCTACCGTACTGGTAAGTGTTATCAGAACCTAGTGATATCTATCGTACTGGTAAGTGTTATCAGAACCTAGTGATATCTACCGTACTGGTTGGTTTGTTATCAGAACCTAGTGATATCTACCATACTGCAGGTTGGTATGTTATCAGAACCTAGTGATATCTACCGTACTGGTTGGTGGGTTATCAGAACCTAGTGATATCTACCGTACTGAATGGTGTGTTATCAGGACCTAGTGATATCTGCCGTACTGGTTGGTGTGTTATCAGAACCTAGTGATTTCTACCATACTGGTTGGTGTGTTATCAGAACCTAGTGATATCTACCGTACTGAATGGTGTGTTGTCAGAACCTAGTGATATCTACCGTACTGGTTGGTGTGTTATCAGAATCTTAAGACATCTACCAGTTTCCTTATCATGGCATTACATTTCATGTCCCATCACTACAACCTAATAAGCATGCTGTCTGTAGAATTTCACGGGTGGGAGTGCCCTGTGACATGTAGTGATGTACAACACTCCCATTACATGTCCAGATAACAGGTATTTGGACAGGTCTAACCTCCCCAGTAATTAACATGTACACAGGGGCGGGGATGACTGCCTCAGGGGAAGTGTTATTATTTTTCCTGTCATCATGTCAGATTGCTAGCGACTGTCATAGTCTGACTCAACAGGAGATCATAATTACCTATCAGTGTATTGACCTCCTATACCGACAGGTGCTTGTTCTCATTAACACAAGGATGCATGAATCCTCCCTTGGACCATGACCTTATATGACCAACTTTATATTGATACCTTGATCCATCATGATGCAATATACTTTATCATACATTTCTGAACATTATTTGATTAAATTTCTTATATGTGTGTAATACGATTGACCAGTGTGTTACATACTTCCTAAGTAAACAATACACGGGTCCATATCCTTAACATCAAAATCATTGTTAGAGGTCAAAGCAAAGATCAAATTGTTTCCATGTTTATGCAGATCAGAACAGCTGAACTGCTTAACATTATTTTATGGATCTCCATAAATTTCAGTATTATCATAAAACACAATGTGCCATATCAGACACATCTCATAAATTTAAAGCTATTCTTCCAGCTGAGCATTTGATCTTGCAGGTAACTTGATAAGTACAAACACTATGAATGTATGAAGTTTTCTGTAACATTGACCTTGGCCACACAGAACTGTGTATAATATGCAACATGCATGTACCTGTAAGGCCTAATACACAAATCTATCAAGTTTTAACAAGTGCTCAACAATTCAAATGTTAAGGCAGGACACACTTTACAGCAACTTGACTTTTGACCTTTTGCTGTGACCCTGACCTTAAGGGAATGTACAGATCTTAAATGGTACTCAACATAGAGAGTTCTGTCATATAAAGCTATACGCAGTTCATTAGGTAGTATCCTTATTATCACTGCAATGATTGGACCATTGACCTATTGCTGTGACCTTGAACTTGAATTGGCATACTGGGTTAAAGGGCTGTCAACTTTGTTCAAATGGTTGACCATAAAATAAGTTAACGTCACAGGATGAAATCTGTCCAATGGCTTGTTAAGACCATGAAATAGCGAGCCATGATATTTCATGTAGATTGGAAATCTGTCCAATGCCTTGTACATGTTAAGGCCATGAAATAGAGAGACATGATATTTCATGTATATTGGAAATCTGTCCAATGGCTTGTTAAGGCCATGAAATAGGGAGCCATGATATTTCATGTAGATTGGAAATCTGTCCAATGCCTTGTACATGTTAAGGCCATGAAATAGAGAGACATGATATTTCATGTATATTGGAAATCTGTCCAATGGCTTGTTAAGGCCATGAAATAGGGAGCCATGATATTTCATGTAGATTGGAAATCTGTCCAATGGCTTGTACATGTTAAGGACATGAAATAGCGAGCCATGATGTTTCATGTAGATTGGAAATCTGTCCAATGGCTTGTTAAGACCATGAGATAGAGAGACATGATATTTCATGTAGATTGGAAATCTGTCCAATGCCTTGTACATGTTAAGGCCATGAAATAGAGAGACATGATATTTCATGTAGGTTAGAAATCTGTCAAATGGCTTGTTAAGACCATGAAATAGCGAGCCATGATATTTCATGTAGATTGGAAATCTGTCAAATGGCTTGTACATGTTAAGGCCATGAAATAGAGAGACATGATATTTCATGTAGGTTAGAAATCTGTCCAATGGCTTGTTAAGACCATGAAATAGCGAGCCATGATATTTCATGTAGGTTAGAAATCTGTCCAATGGCTTGTTAAGACCATTAAATAGCGAGACATGATATTTCATGTAGATTGGAAATCTGTCCAATGGCTTGTTAAGACCATGAGATAGAGAGACATGATATTTCATGTAGATTGGAAATCTGTCCAATGGCTTGTACATGTTAAGGACATGAAATAGCGAGCCATGATGTTTCATGTAGATTGGAAATCTGTCCAATGGCTTGTACATGTTAAGGCCATGAAATAGGGAGCCATGATATTTCATGTAGATTGGAAATCTGTCAAATGGCTTGTACATGTTAAGGCCATGAAATAGCGATCCATGATGTTTCATGTAGATTGGAAATCTGTCCAATGGCTTGTACATGTTAAGGCCATGAAATAGCGAGCCATGATATTTCATGTAGATTGGAAATCTGTCCAATGGCTTGTACATGTTAAGGCCATGAAATAGGGAGCCATGATATTTCATGTAGATTGGAAATCTGTCAAATGGCTTGTACATGTTAAGGCCATGAAATAGCGATCCATGATGTTTCATGTAGATTGGAAATCTGTCCAATGGCTTGTTAAGGCCATGAAATAGGGAGCCATGATATTTCATGTAGATTGGAAATCTGTCCAATGCCTTGTACATGTTAAGGCCATGAAATAGAGAGACATGATATTTCATGTAGGTTAGAAATCTGTCAAATGGCTTGTTAAGACCATGAAATAGCTATAGAGAGACATGATATTTCATGTAGATTGGAAATCTGTCCAATGGCTTGTTAAGACCATGAAATAGAGAGACATGATATTTCATGTAGGTTAGAAATCTGTCCAATGGCTTGTTAAGGGCCTGAAATAGCGAGCCATGATGTTTCATGTAGATTGGAAATCTGTCCAATGGCTTGTCAAGACCATGGAATAAAGAGCTGTGGTATTTATCCATGTAGATTGCCGAGGTATTAAAGGACTATTATATTCATTTAAGTTAATTTTTATCCTACAATTGGGACCATGGTCTGATTAGCAATGCCAGTGTCCTGCATACTGTAAAAGCAAATCAAAATTAGCACCTGTTAAATTACTAATGATATTGCCTGCATTAACAGATGAGCAGTTTAAAATTTTTAATCCCTATGATGTCAAAAGTACACAGTTATAATTAAAGCATAACTAAAACAACTCTTATTGTCTAAGCTATATTCTTCCCAACTACAGATGCATTTACAATTAAGGCATGTTTAATGAAACTTTATATATAACATCATCCTACTTATGTGATAAACCATTTCATGAAGTGTAAAGGTCACTATTGTACGTATCAAAAGTCGCCGCACTCTTTTTTTTTATAATTTTGTTTGTGAGAGAGGTTACAC